CAGCCTGTGGAGCCAATACGAAGAGCGGTGCCATTATGTCTGCTTTATCAGACACTGAGATCCAGAGAGAAATTGGAATCAGCAATCCTCTGCATCGCTTAAAGCTCCGATTAGCAATCCAGGAGATGGTTTCCCTGACCAGTCCTTCAGCTCCTCCAACATCCAGAACTGTGAGTCCATTTGTGCTCCTTCCCTCTCCCAGTGCTGGGTGAACAGCAGCATCTCCAAGTCCACAGAGCAAAATTGTGGCAACACACATTTCAATGTCAGCATGAATTATTCTGAGGAGATTTAGCTTGCTCTCCATTAACCTTGCTGCTACTTTTAATAGGCTTTCAACTGAGGAGCTGTGATTCCTATCAGACTTGAAGCCTGCAACCAAGATAGACTTTTGAGCTAGCCTCTAGACTAAAGTTTAGATTTTTCTCCCAAGCAACAAGACCAAGAGTTTACTCTTTTTCAGAATTTTTCTTTTTAATGTAATCCAGCATCTCAGGAGATGAGCAATAGGCATTAGTACTTTTTGAAGATGTAATGCTAAACTCACTACTTCTTAAGCAGTTTTCATAATTATGAAAGTACCTTAGTATTTAATGTTTTATAAATACCAAGTGGATTACCTTCCTTCAAAACCTGTTTGCCTTTTATTTATAAATCCCTATTTCTCTCATAATTTCATCCCTATCTTAATATTAGGAAAGAACAAAATATCTAAAAAAGGCATGCCAGATGACAAATTCAAACACAGAGGAAAAACTCCCAAATAATATTCATTCTTTCTTTAGTCCTTTCCCAAATTATATCTTTTGCTGATAAAGGATATGATTTCTGTTGTTAAATGGATTTTTCTGGTCCCATGTCTTATGCAAAATAATAAAATATGGAAGAATGAGGTAAGTTTGAATAGTGGGCAAAAGATAGAAAAGTGATATTACTTTATTTCAGTTTTCAGGCACAAAGCTAACTTGAGTATAAATTTTTACATGTGGTCTTAAATACAGACCATAAATTAGAGAAATTTGCTTCATTTTTTTTTTTTTTTTTGCGGTACGCGGGCCTCTCACTGTTGTGGCCTCTCCCGTTGCGGAGCACAGGCTCCGGATGCACAGGCTCAGCGGCCATGGCTCACGGGCCCAGCCGCTCCGCGGCATGTGGGATCTTCCCGGACCGGGGCACGAACCCACGTCCCCTGCATCGGCAGGCGCACTCTCAACCACTGCGCCACCAGGGAAGCCCCCCATTTTTATTACATATATTCTTGTATTCCTTCCCAGTGCACTAGATTCCAATGCTAGAAATACAGGGTCAAATCACCATTTGACCAATCACCATTTGACCAAGATCACCATTCTTCTCCAACTCATCCTTCATCTAATGATTCCTGAATGTTCTTCCTCCAAAAAGTTTTCACTAAGCCCCAAAGTCTGGGTTTTCTTCCCTTCCTGAGTTACTACTCCGTATACTTATAAAAGCTATTTTATAATTTTCTCTTCTTGAGTCATCCCACACTAGGCCAAGCAAGTATATTATCAGGTTTTCCATAGTCCCCAGGCCTTAACTCAGTGCCTGGCAAATTGTAAATAGTCAGTAAATATGCATCTTAAAATGATGATTGTACAAGTCACTCTACTCACCATTATAGAGGATATGAGATATGTATGCCCTGATTACAGAGAGGGCAATCAAACTAAGAAAAGGAAGATATGTTCACCAGCAGGTTTAGTAGAAGATGACATAGTTTAATTCCTTAATGTGAGATAGAAGCAGAGTGCCGTGGAATTCAAAGGAAGGAGAAATCACTTCTGGTTGAATAAGGCTTCAAAGAGGAATTAACATTTGAAAGACAGGTAATATATTGTTAATTAATTATTAAAATTATTAATATTTTCACTATTAACTTTTTGATAGAGACCTTTTCATTCTATTTTCTTTCTCATTTTATAAAATTGAATTATTTTCACATAATATATTATTTTGTACTTTTAAAACTTAGTAATATAGCACGAATATTTCCCCCATTTTATTAAGTATGCAATTGTAATATTTTTAATTGCAGCATACCTCCTTAATGGAAATACTGTAATTTATTTAACCAAGTCCCTAATATTGGACATTTTGCTTACTTAACAATTTTCTTTGTTTTTCTAATACCATAGTGGATAAGCAAGTAGTTATATTATTGCATTAACTGAACTGTAGTAATTTCCATAGCAATATTTGTATACAGGGCATTTATATTCTTATTACTTTTGAACCTTAATTGTCAAATTGTATTGTATAGTCCTTTTTTTCCTTTGTCAATGTTAATGATTACATTGCTTAAATTTACATTTTAAAAATTACTAGTAAAGTTAAATTTTTTCATATGCTTATTTATTTTAGCATTTAAATAAATTACCTATTCATAACCTTTTTCATTTTTCTATAGGATTATAGGAATATTCATTTTTTTTACTAATGTGTAAAAGCTCTTTATTCACAGAAGACATATGACCTTTGCTAAATATTGATGCAAGTTTCATAAGAGATAAGTTGTCTCTATTTGCTTTAAAAATAATCTACTGAGTGCTTTTTATTTCTTTTACTTCATCTACATGGAAGTATTTACTTGTTTCTAATATATTTCAAATATGATTTGCTTTGCAAAAAAGCTACATGCGAATTTCTAGGAATTAATCCTCTGCATAAAGTGAAGCTGAAAACATTTTAAAGTCATCACCTAAAATTATATACTAGGATTCACACTTTGAAAATTCAAAAGGAGTTGGTTTGGGTCTTTTATTTTTTGTTTTTTTTAGGAAATGTTATCATGTCTTCTAGAACACTGCACATAGTTCTGATCCTACAAGATCTTCCGTGTGTTTAGGTTTGGGTTTGGTTTCTAAGAAAGATGTATCTTGTTCATTCACTCAAGTTCTAAGAGGAAAAAACAAGATACTTAGATTTTTTTTTTTAAACTGAACAGAACTCTGCCTCCTTTTCTGTCTAGACGAAATGGGCTAACATTAGAAAAATCTAATGTTTACATTTATTATTATTATATTACTTACATTTATTATATCTTTGGGCCAGCCCTAATCTTCCAGCTTTCGGTTTCCTCTTCCTAAGCTACAGTTACTGTAGAAGGCCTCTTACAAAATAGAATAGAGATGGAGATATCAGGTAATTGAAATATTTGGTTAAAGAGGTGTGTCATAAAGAATAAATAAGTACTTTAAATATTTTATCTTAAGTAAAAATATGTAAATGTTCAGGCACTTGCAAATTTAGATGAAACACTAGGACTTTTCTTTGAGTATAATTCCAATGCCTGGAGTTTCACATTATGTTTATGTGATAACTTCATCCATTAAACATCTTCAATTTTTTAAATTTGAGTTTCTTTTTAAAGTGATAACTTGAAGATATTTGAAAAGCTGTGTGAGCGCAGAATCCTCCTGGAAATTTACAAATTCTTCCCCAGACCTTGCTGAAGTTGTATCTCACTGACAATGTGTTTTAAGATTTACCTTTATCTGGTCTTTCCAAATAATTCAACTTAGTGTTCATACGTGAGCCAAGTTTATTTAATTTTGGCTCTATGTAATATTTATTTAAATTGCCTAATTTTATAAAAAGTGCAGTGGAAGTAGACAGGTTTGGTAACAAATATAAATGATCTTTAGTAAACATAGAATTCAGCAAATTTGAGCAGACATGTAAGGCATAAGATAGGCTTCAGCACAATGTACGGGGAAAATAGCATTTATTAAACTAAAGATTTACTTGGGTAGAGATTGTTTAATGAAAATTCTAGTGAAATTGTAGTAACAGCCAACATCAGTGGAGTACTTATGAAGTGTCAGTCCCTGTTCTAAGTGTTCTACATGCAATAACTCATTTGAGCCTCAGGACAATGCTATGAGATGGGTACTTTTATGACATCTATTTTACAAATGGGAGAAACTGATGAACAGAGAGTTTAAGTGACTTGTCTAAGGTCACACCCCAGGTTGTTTTGCCCCATAGTCTATGCTCCTAACAAGTGTACTCTCCTGCTTCTTGAACTCTACCAGTTTTCCTTCTTTTTTGCAACATTCTTCCAGTCTACTTTGGTTCCACTTTTCATTATTACTAACCTCCTAAGCCTCAACCTTTAATGTAAATAAGGTGAAATATAATTGTGTAAAACTAGTCTTATTATAATGAGAAATATTTCTCTTCTTATGGTGAGAAATATCAATTCAGATAAGGGAAAAATGTGGATCTAGGCCATTTTGAAAGTGAAAAGTAAATTTCAAATTAATTTACTTTGTAATTCAATTATAAAGTAAAAAATTCTTCAAAATGACTTATGTAGTAACAGAAGTTACTTCTAGCTAGATAAAGTTTAGGATTATTCTGAGGTCTGGCTGCTTTACTTATTTTGTATTTCTGACAGCAAGAGAATTATTTTCCTCCAATTAATTTTCATGAGTTGTCCCTTAAACTCATTTTTTCCTTAAACTCATTTTAATATTAATTTTTATATCATAATTCTGTTCTGAATGATTTAATTAGTTAAGTGCTTTAATTCTCAACATCCTTAAGGAATTTTCCTACTAGATCTCATTTGATAATACTATCTGAATACTCTACTCCATCTGGACTAAGGTGAGGCCAGCAAGGCACCTCAAACAAAACTGAATGAGGCACTCACTGTCAGTACCGACCTTGCACTTGCATGATCCTGAAAGTGAGTGCTTCTTTAAATGTAGCCCCCTTGACACCTCACCTACCTCATCCTAGTCCCAGCCCTGTATCAGAATATGTTACATCATAATTTTAAATTATTTGTATTTTTTCTAGTATGAGTATGCAGTTTTAGTCTACTAAGCAGATGTAGATTCTAAAATTTAGAAAGGTTTAGGAAATGTCCTGGGTAGTTACTGAGAAGTGGCACTGCTAGAACTCAAGCCTCTTGATTATAATTTGGTAAATCTCCAGATAGTTAAAATTTTAGAAATCATTTGCTAGATTCAAATGGCATTTGACACAAAAAAAAAAAAAAGAAGAAGAAGAAGAAAAAAAAAAGTCTATTGGTTTGCATTCTCCAGCTCAGATACTGGGGGTTGCAGCGTGGACTGATGTAAATGATTTTCAGCGGCTCTCAGAAAACCACAACCAAATTATATGATACTTGTCCTTTATGCTTTTCCAAGCTACTTTTTGCATTGTCTTTATCCTTGGACCCAAGGCACCAGAGTCCTTTGGTTGCTCAAAGCGTCCCACTCTAGCTATTCTCTAAGATGTGCTCTTTGCTGAAACACTCATGCTCTAAAGCACCCTTTTATGACTTACCCTGTTGAAAGTTCCATCCTTTAAACTGGTGGTAAAAAGAAATAAATCTGAATAATTGACTTACTACACATGGGTTTGCTTATAAAATAAACTTGTTAAAACTCAACTAATGCCTAATTGATTGGGTTGTTTAGAAGTCATTTTATGGATTACTTTACAAGACTCTAGAGCAGGCAGTGCTCCTCAGAAGTAAAACTGCAGAGCATAAGTGAACAGCTAACTTACAACTTCAGAAAGTTTCGCAACCATACTTTAGAAAATTGCCCTGGATATATACTCATTTTGCATGTAAAGATACAGATAAAGCCATAGCTTGCAGAGTCCTACTCATCCCAGAATATGGTGATAGCCTGGCAAATATAGACTATAACCTGTGAAAGAGATTATACATGTATGTATTCTAGTATGAAATAATACTGGTCAAGTTTCTTATAGAAGGATGGAGATCTTCATTGTTTGGATTCACAATCAAGGTTGAATCTTTAGAAATCATTGTAAAACAATCTGGCTTAAATGAATTTCCTCTCAGGTAACCATCACTGAAGCTCATGTTGAACAGTATAGCCACTCAGGAAAAACACTGTCGTCACTGGGTATAAAGGGAATGTGACAGATGATTGTAAAATTCTTTTTAGCATAGTACACGGCTCAAAAAGTCAGTAAAAGCAATTTCTGCCAAAGGATTTAATGATTCATATATTCATACACAACTTTCTCTTTATAATGAGCACGATTCCTGGAAGCTAGGGATAGAAGGGAGGGGCATTTAACGACATGGATGGCTGCTGTATTCTCAGTATATTTTACGGATGTGTACAGTTTTATCTTTTAGGAAAAAATTTATATATGCTCAAAATTCCAAAATGGTAGGAGAATGAGAATTCTTTACATATATATGATGCTTATCCTTTGAGATTTTTTGCCCATATGATTTATTATAATTATAAATATTTACTACTCAACTCTGTTTTGTTACTCAACTATATATATGAGTAACTCTCTTATACATGAGATTTATCTTATAGTAAATTATATTCATCAATTTAGTTTATATGTAGTTATTTTAAAAATTATATTAAATTACATTATTTATAATAGAAGATAAGTCAACATGGTACTATGTGTTGGCAGAAAAAGCAAGAGAGAATTATGGTGATGACTTATGTTGGGGTATCAACTTTGCTACTTCCAATTCTTTGAAACTAGACCCCTTCCAAAACAAGTAACAAGCAATACATAAGATTAAATTCCACTGTAACTATAGAATTGATGTGCTTGGACAACATTGAAATGTTCATAAATATTTCCCAGTAAAATGGTGGAATTTGATGGGAGGTGGTTCCCAGTGATCTGTATGTTACTAAGTGGACTTTGGTCTAGAAATTGTATGTATTAATACTTCAGTGTATAAAACAAACATCATGGGTTGTTTTATTTAGAAGGCAAATGAGACTTCATAATAGAATAGTGTCTGCTAGAGGGAAAATTTCCTTTTACATCGTGTTCTTCTCTATAATAGTGAAGGATACTGCCAAAAAATTAGGAAACCTAGGTTTTGTGACTTCTGACAATATTTAGTGGAAAAATACCTATTATTAACTCCAAAATAGCATTTCTCTTCTTTTTTCTCTATAAGAATATAGGAAAAAAACATATTTACTGAACTGTAAAAGGAAGCGGTCATTTGGGAAAAGCTGATATTGGTTTCCAAACAGTTTATGATAGAGCTTTCAGCTTTGTGTTTACAACCAGTTTTCTCTTTCCAAGGACACTGAAGAATTAAAACTTTGTGAACAAAATATAGGTAATAACACAACAAAATACATGTGCCTTTGTTTACTGAAGAAAAAAATAAAAATATTCTTCTACAGATCAAATTTATTCAGTTCTCCATGATTACAAAAAGTGGATCCAATAGCCCCATACCATTGAAATGCAAATTTTGATTAAGCCTTTTTCCTGATTAATAATTACAGAAGTATCATTTTAAATCTATCCCATGTGAGCTTCACAGCATGCCTCTTTCTATTTAATCTTTTGAAGTAGAAGAAAAAGGCAGCTATGAGAAACTAGCAATGCTGTCTCTTGTGCTTGCTATAGAAGCAAGAGCATGGTCGTGTTACTGTGGTACCATTAACTTACAGTGGTGCTGCGTTTCTTCTTTACCACTGCTTCCCTCCCATGGATCCCACTGCTTCCCTCTGGGCCTCCTCACTAGCCTTCAGGCAACGTTTGGGTGACCCATGAAGAAATGGAAAATCTTGCAGCTCCAGCAAAAACGGTTAGTCTTTACAGCTTTGTTGAACATGAAGAAAGTTATTTTGCTGCTATTTGGATGGAAAAGCTATTTTGTTTGTGTAGATCAGAGTAATGGGGTATGTTTACATAGTAATATGCAATGATAACTAACATTTTTCATTATAGTTTTATTTCACTGACCCTAGACATTTTTAAATGAAGCCGTACTAGATTGGCATAATGTGGTTAATATAAGAGTTTGTAACATGCAAACAATAATCAAGAATTTAATGACACTTATTTATACATTTTGCAACATTGGAAAGTTTTGATAACAAATATCACTTAAAATTGAACATATTCACAGGTAATGCATGTTACCAAACCCAATTAAATTTGTAATAGAATGTGTAGATTGAATACTCATTTTAAATATAATTATTTAGTTTCTTGTACTTTACCATCTCAAATAGAGAACTTCCTCCTCCCACCCGCATGCAAAGTGTTCATTTAGTATTAAAAGCACAGACTTAAAAAATTCATCGTGACTCATTGTAATTGTCAGCTTTTAAAAATATATTACATATAATCATTTCTCATTTAAAGTAACAAAGTTGGGCATGCCATGCATTTTATTATGAGCAACTTATTTTTAATTTAATGTCCTTTTAATTTTATTCCTGTTTGAAAAATTGATTATCTAGTTTCTGATGAATAAAAATGCCAATGTTGTGTACTAATTACATTTTTAGTTTGTTGTGCTTGGTCTTTTCTTGTTTAGCTTTGTTTGTTGTTGGTTCTTGCTGAAACCCATTTGATTACCACAAAGTTTTGTTAGAAGGATGCAGTTACTTTGTCCACTCCATTAATTTACTTTATATAAGATTTATCCATCATATGTATGTATACACATTTGTGTATTGTATATTTGTATGTATATAATCAGAAATTTTTGTCATAACTTATTACATTTGTAAAATCCCACACTTTTAAGAATTAAAAAAGGTTTGGAATGACCAGATCAAATGTATCATGAAAATTCCATATGTTGTATGTGTGTGCATTTAATTAGAATAAATTAGAAACTGTGTAGGTGCCTTTGTAGTTGCCCTTGAACTGCTCTATTGATTACTGTGGATCTGAATAAGGATCTGTGTACTTATTTGTCTGTGTCTTAATTAACATTTTTAATAACAAAGCAATTTTGCTTCTACTAGAAAAAATTTATTAATTTGAGATTAATTTATCTTTATCTGCTTTATTAATCATTTCCTGCTGCTAACACAGAAAGAATCTGAGGAAGGAAGCTGGGCCCAGGTAGGAAATTCATGTGCTTTAAAACAATATCATTTAGTAGGCTATAAGGATATAAAGTAAGAAACTTGTATGTCATAATATTATAAGTCTTCACTTAGCTTAAGATTAGGCTAATCATGTATTTGACTTTATTATGTTGAATACTATAAGGTCTTTTAAAATCACCATATTTTGCAAAGAAGATGATCATCATTTTATACCTGGCCTCTTTTGAAAGGAAAATTTCATTTCTCCTTTAAAAGAATGAACTATAACTTAAATTTCTTGGAAATCACCCCTGAATATATTTAATCAGGAATCATTTATGTTGGTTGTAAGCGGGGAGGGGAGATTTCAAAAAACTTATTTGGAATCACCTATTCTTTAAAGTATAATGGAAAGTGTGTGAGAAATGGAGTTGGAGGGACATGTGTTAGCCTTGCAACTACACGTCAGAAGTCACTCGCATTTATTGAGTTGGCATATGAGCTAAGCATCTGTACTTTGAACAAAATATATGCTTGCAACGAAGCTGTTCCTTTTTCAACATTTCTGCATGTTTATTACTAAAAGAATTAATGTGTGTTATAGGTAATGTGATTCAAACTTTGACTGTAAGAAAAATTTTTGTAGTTATTACTAGGACCTACATTTAAACATTTAGTAAATTAGGGTTGCATTAAGTTTTTATTTTAGTGAGAATTTCATTTTTTAAGAACACACAAAATAAAGGGAACACCTAGATTTTCATTAGAAATACATGTTATAATTGTGAATTTGTTGTTTGATAAGGAACTAAATAGAAGACATTGTCAAATTAATAGAGATTAATAGTTTTTTTTTTAATTGCTTTAGAGATGATGGTTGATTTCGGTTTTCATTTTGGCTTTTAAGAACAGTGGTAAGATCAGTTCATATTGTTATATTAAAGAACTAGATTGTCTTAGAGTTTGATCATGCTCTGCTTCTTTAAGTACAGAGTCTGTATTGATTGATATCTACTAAAGACTGATTGCATCAATTTTTATAGAATACTGGCTGCATGCCTCACTAGGTAACAACAATGGCCACATAAAGCTTCAGCATTCTATCTCTCTAGCCTTGTGGCTCCTTTCTCTATTCATTTACTGAGGTTTCTATTTTGACATCAAGATTTGCCATTACACCATGGCAATGGTAATAGTAGCATTGAAGAGAAGGAAATGGTGGCGTATTGGCTAACAGATAAAAATAAAATAAGTTGAATTAAATAAATCTATCAATACAAAGAAAGGATCTTTAAGCTCAGCATTTGTATTATATCATTCATTTTAGCTTTTGAATTAAAATGCATATTTGTATAAAATGTAATTCCTTTTGAGCAAACAAAGTGAACATAATCATTCTCTTTAGGCAAGGACCTTGATACATGTACCCAGAGTTCCACTTTGTACCAAAATAAATCAAATATTTAGAGGCTAAATATTATTTCCACTTTGTTTCAATATATCATAGAAATTAAATATCATTTATAATGATAGCCCATACCCTCCAATTACCGTCTCATTTTATTGGCTAAGAAACTTGACTGCTATAAAACAATTCTAGTGTCCGGTTTTTCTACAGACCCTGGCATATGGAGATATGAACCACGAGTGGATTGGAAACGAATGGCTTCCCAGCCTGGGGTTACCTCAATACAGAAGTTATTTTATGGAATGCTTGGTAGATGCAAGAATGTTAGATCACCTAACAAAAAAAGATCTCCGTGTCCATTTAAAAATGGTGGATAGTTTCCATCGGTACGTTTTTTCCAAAAAGTAATTAAAGTGAAAAATAAATAACTGTATATATTACTAGAACATAAAGATATTTAAGAAATATAGAATATGTGCTCTTTGAAACATCTGTGTACATCTACTTGGCAAAGTATCTTTATGCAGCAAATTGCGGGGACTATCTAATGTAGAGCTGGGTGCATATTACATGCCCAAAGTTTATGGAACTGGACAGTACAAAATTCTCATACAGCATAGATCTTTTTTTCCCCTGTATCTGTAGGAAATTTCATGTTTGTGATTTGTATCTATATATGTTTTAATACTAGAAAGTTATTTATTAAGAATAAAACCATCAGTCTCAACTATATATGGAGTTATAAATTATATAACTTAGGGATATACTAGAAAAAATTTGAGAAGGCATTCTCTTCTGAAGAAAATTTTTGTTTTTTTGTAAACCTTTTAGTGCTTTTGCTTATTTGTACATTAATTTTCAGGAAAAAAAATACTGAATGGATTATGAGACATTGGTAAGAGCACAGATAAATGAAAGGCAAATGAAAATTAGTTTTTCAAGTTGCTTATCATCTAGGGAGTAAAAAAATGGTTGTTATAATACCATGTCATAAATGTTATGTTGTAGCCTGATCTCTTTGTAGGTTATCTGCAAAATTGTCAGTTGTATTATGATTATTTTATATACAGTTATTATAATAAATTAATAAATATAAATCTAGACAATTTGGGAAACTATGTGTTCACATCCTGTCCAACATTTAATTAGTGATGGAAATTAAAATGGTATAACAATCATATATGTTAATGACTAAAGTTAGGATAAAGAGATAATAATTGAGATTCTTCAGTCAAATTTATCAAAATGTTTTGAATCTTAACACAGTTGTTTACACTGTTGGATTAAATTTAGTAGAGATAAATATAACATCGTTTTTAAAAACCATGAAAATGCTGGATGGGGAATTCATGATTTAAAAGCAGTTCAAGTGAAAAAGATATGTGATTTATAGTTGACACAAAAATCTCAGTTCTGGTTAATGGCTTGACAGGGCATATTTAGACTGTGTTTATTGGCAGGCACAATAAAAGTCCTATCATGTGGTGAGATAACAATAAGAAACTGTATTAATTTATGGACATTAAATTGTTTTTGATAAAGTGGTAAAAATCTGGGGGAAAGGAAGGAATTAAAGAAATTTAGCTTGGATAAGGGAAGACTTTAGATAAGTTTTCTTATGTTTTAATATTATGTGATAGAGTAATATTTGCTGTCTTGAACATGTGCTTTTCTAGTACAAATAGGTATAGATAATAGGGTGAGTGATTTATGTTCAACAGAAAATACAACTTTGTATCACTCTCAATTGCTCTATAGTACACACATTGTGAGACAGTGAGTTCCCTGTCACTGAACATTTAGGGCCTCAAATTTTGTGTGGTTACAATAGACTTTTAAATATTAGAATTTTTGATGACACACTTGTGCCTGTTTTCTATTCTTCACTGGATCAACTTTTAATTGCTTTATTATTATAGTAGAAATGATTCATCCAGAGATCAAGTTTTCTTTTTTAAAAAATAAAAATTACTCAAATGGCAGGGTTCTTGTTTGTTCTGGGAAATACACAAGCTTCATCTTTATGCTATGCTTAGCTCTGACTTAAAGCAAATAATACTTTACTGCATATGGCATCCCATTGTCTTTACAGCCCAGTTTTCCATCTGACAAGACATTGTTGTAACAACATATATCCTTTTTATAGCACAATTTTACATTACATACAAAAACTGGGCAAGACCCAGTGGTTTAACCTCAAGCTGGCTAATGTCTATGATGGTTTTTACATCAGTATTATCTGGTATTCCACTAAATTAGTTTGCTTGGGCTAGCATGACAAAATAACATAGATGGGTGGCTTAAACAACAGAAATTTATTTTCTCAAAGTTCTGGAATCTAGAAAACAAAGATCAAGGTGTCAGCATTATTGGTTTCTTCTCCTTGGCTTGCAGATAGCTGTCTTCTCACTGTGTCCTTACATCGTCTTTCCTGTGTGTGTGTACTTCCCAGGTTTCTCTGTGTGTCCAAATTTCCTCTTATAAGGACACCAGATATACTGGATTAAGGCATACCCTGATGATCTGATTTTAACTTAATTACCTCTTTTAAGGCCCAGTCTCCAGTCACAGTCACATTCTGAAGTATTGGGCGTTAGGGCTTCATTGTAAGTATTTGGGGAAACACAGTTTATCCCATAACAGCAATTAATGCAGATTTCTTTCCATTTTCCTCTGATTCTGAAATATTTGAACTCAGCGTTGTTCTTATTAAAATGCAGGGCTTAGAAATGCATCCAGCACTTAAGAGTAGCCTGGCCAATGTGTATGTCTAAATTTGTCTATAATTCTAAACATTTAAGAAATCACTAATATTCAGTGCTCTTTGTTCTTGAGGCCTAGAGATTCTTTTTACCTATTATACTCTTCCACATCCTTTATATATAATATCAGTAAGTCTTCTTTCTTCTCTCTGAACATCTCTGGTTTCTAGATTTTCTTTTCATGCTTTTCTTTGTCCTTAGTGGGACCTTTATTTTGACAGCATTTCTTCTTCAACTAATTTCCCTGTCACCTAGAATTACCTATTTTCCCCAACTCTTGTGTTACTACCAGATTATTCTCTCTTAAACCAAAACCCTTTATTGTCATTTTTATCCTCCTGTGAAAATTGTCCAATAATTTTTATCACCTTGATGTGTTCTACACTTACTCTGAACGCAAACTTTCCTTAATGTAACCCCATTCTCCATATAAAATCTTATTCCTCCTAACTTCCTGGCATAGATCTTCACTCTGGACAGAGGATCTATCACCACACATTTAACATTTCATCAGCTATCCTATGTTCATGGTGTTCCATATCCTTTACTAACCCTCCCTCTGCCTGATCCTTTAAGGATCAGTCAGTTTTCTGCTCTTCCACAATATCCTTTCCACATAGAGTTTCAATATCTGTTGACTTGTTCCTTTCACATATTTCTGTATCACTTAGAGTTGGTGGCTGTTCATTTTGGTATTTGGTTCTGTATGTTATCACTTAACTCATTCATCTTTTTATTATTTATTTATAAATTTATTTATTTATTTATTATTTTTGGCTGTGTTGTGTCTTCGTTGCTGTGCTCAGGCTTTCTCTAGTTGTGACGAGCGAGGGCTACTCTTTGTTGCGGTGTGCAGGCTTCTTATTGTGGTGGCTTCTCTCATTGCAGAGCACGGGCTCTAGGTGTGTGGGCTTCAGTAGTTGTGACACGTGGGCTCAGTAGTTGTGGCTCATAGGCTCTAGAGCGCAGGCTCAGTATTTGTAGTGCATGGGCTTAGCTGTTCCGTGGCATGTGCGAACTTCCCGGACCAGGACTCAAACCTGTGTCATTCTTAACCACTGTGCCACCAGGGAAGCCCTCATTCATGTTTTTATATTATTTTTCTCATCAGCTAAAAAGAAGAGTATTCCTTTCTTGTAATTTCCTTCTTGTCTCCATAATAGTGACTCTTTTCAAAGGAGTAAAATGTTCATTTGTCTTCAAACAATGTTGAAATAGCCTAATGGAAAACAAAGACATGTGGATGAACAACATAATCCAAGATTAATTTTAAGACTATGGTTATTTTATTTCGAAAATACTTTTTTTTTTTAACTCTTTAGAAACACTGTGTGCTTAGAATAGCTATAATTTTAATTCCCTCCAATTCTAAAGGGTTTAAGTACAAATGGAATCTGTTAACCTGTTGCCTGAAGTAGTGCATAGTGTTGACTGTGCTTAATCATCTACTGAGTAAACTAAATGTGTTTTCTCCTTTAAAAAAAAATAACAGAACAAGTTTACAATATGGAATTATGTGCTTAAAAAGGTTGAATTATGACCGAAAAGAACTAGAAAGAAGACGAGAAGCAAGCCAACATGAAATAAAAGGTAATATGTCTTTCTTTTATATCAAATGCCTTTTTTTTTTCTGGGATTTTTAGCTTTCACTTTTATGAACCTAAAATGCTGTATGCATTACGATTATCATTAAGTAACATAAGTATTCAGCTAGAAGAGTGTCATCATTATTTCCTTTTCATTACTTTTCTGATTAAAACTCAGAAAAGGATATCATCACTTTATAAGATAGATATCCCGTTTGGGGAATATTCTTGATTTTCTGAATTGAGATTTATTCCTCTGAACCTACTATTACTTATATATTCTGTTTATCATAAACATGCCTCCACATAGATAGTTCTGTCAGACTTTTAATAGAACATTCTCATTATGATTCAGAGAAACATGGTATATAATTTATTTATAGCAGTTTATCCCTGGTTTGCATCATTTGAATTCTATTTCAGTGACCAGATATTTTATTTTTGTAATATAGTTGTTGAAATTATATAGGGATTTTTATATAGAAGTTACAGAGGGAATTTTCCCCTATAAGTGAGACTAGTCCATTAATAATTTTAGCTAGGAATGATTTTAGAAACATTACTAACTGCTGCAACTATTGTTTGTACAAACCAATAAGACACTTCCTATAACAGACTTTAGAAAAGTACTGTATTTAGTAATTAACTCTTTAAATGTTGAGCAGTACCTTAATATACAGGGGAAATAATTGTTTAAAAAGAACAACATGTTAGACTTTATACTTGTTAGAGACCACTTTATTATTGTTGTTTTTGAAGGAAAATTTAATGATTAGGTATAAGATATAAATATCTATGGGACTTTTATGGGCAAAAATCATAAGCCCTTTTATGTCTATTTATACTTTTTAATGGAAAAAAGCCTCAAATTTTTTGAAGAAAATTTTGAGTAGAAGCAAAATAAACTCCTTATATTTCTGTTTACCATTACCCAGGAGTTGATACATGGAAGCATTTCATCAAATTCAATAAGTGTTTGTACATTAATTGTTCAAAGTTAGGCACGAGTCTGTTATTGTCATCTTCACTGCCTGTAGGGCTTACCTTAGACATGAAAATAATATATATTACATGTTACCCTTACTTCCCATTTTAAAGTTTAGCACTGTTTTATTCTTTCAGATCACCTATCTTAGACTTTTGTAATTTTCATTTGTGATAAATATTGTCAGAAATCACTTTTATCTTTGGCAGTTCTTGGACAGTACATTAGTTAGAGTGGAATGGGTTTGAATGCCTGTGAAGGTGATTGATTAAAAGTATTTTTCTATATATGGTTCATTGGAGAGTAGACAGACACACAATGGATTTCTTGTAACACTATTTGACTCATTACCTAGGAGCA